GACATTTGTCTACCATTTTTCGTTTTCATGTCATTTTTTACCTTTACGTCAATCTTGTAATTTTAACACATTTTCCCCTTTTCGTGTTGGTTGTTAGTGAATGCTTCATGTATTCACAATGACTCACTAAAACTAAGTTTTAATTGTATCATCCGTTCATGACTAAATTCACTCCTGCAATGGACTGTTTATCCAACACTGAATATTACACGGATCTTCGATAACTTCCTCGACCTTACAAAACCGACGATTGGAAGAACAGAGCTAAGAATTACATTTCCTCCTAAAATGAAACACAATTACAATTCCTCCTATATTAATCAAAATTGTTTATAAATAAATGTTAAAATTGTATAATTCATTTAATAAGCAAACATTTTAATTCACATCTTTTTAGTATTTTTTTAAACACAAGGCCGTTTCCCGGTATATTCAAGTTTTTATACAAGTTTCCTATATTTAAGTTTTTTAAAGGTCATTTTCAAAGAATTTTTAGATCGTCAGAAACCGAGCCCTGATGATCAATAACAGGGGTCAAATAAACTTTATGACAAAAATAATAACTCGCCCAGAGCGCGTAAGAAGTGTGAACTAATCAGACTTTACTTCCCGTCAATTGTACATTATTCCTCATTAAAAAGTTTTCTTTGACCCCACGTCACTAGTTCCCTGAGGATACTTTCTCTTCAGAAGTTGAGCTAAATTTTGTGAAATTCTCGGTACTGATTAGATATTGTTGTAATCATTGTACAAAAGAAAATAATTAATATCACGTCTATTACCTGTAGTCTGAATACACAATCTTCTCCCGTTGATCATTTGTTAAATTGTTTATTAACTGCTCAGCTATCCTCAGTTAACAATACAAAACAATGTCTTGTATTTCTTATTATTTTCCATGCCATCATTGATTTTTAAATAATAATTTTTTCTTTCGATGGAAAAATCTTTACTTATAACACTGCTTTCTGGTGAATAATTGAGCATATTCAATTATTTCTTCTAGTCGTCTTGCAATTCAGTCACTGGATATGAGGGAAGGAAATCAGGAAATAGTGTTAATAAATAGTCATAACTTTAAGAAAAACTTAATGTATTTACCAGAGGTAACATGTGAGTGTACATACGTTCAACAAATAACAGCAACAGTAGAATCAAACAGAGCAAGCATACATACAGCGTTTGGCGGCATCAATGATGACAACGACGGAGGCAGCGACGACACTGAAGGCATGCGGCAGGGGGTCTTTTTTGCATAAGACGTATGCCCAATTTGTGACATTTCACTGATTCTACGTATCCTTTTTAAATCAGCTGGTATTTACAAACTTACACGAAAAACTCGTAGTTTTTTACACAGAGGATCGAATATTTAAAATGATTTGTTCTGCACCACGAAAATATATAGTTCAATACGTTTCCTGAGTATTTGCATGGCAATCCAGGTGCATTAGGAAAGCAGTCGGAGACAAACGAAGGTCATATACGGCGAAGTAATGAAGCACAAGTGTAGAAGCATAATTAAATTGTAGCTAGTGCATTTCGTAAATATTTTCATAAATATTATGAAATTAGCATTATTAGAAGGGCATGAAAGAACGCAAAGCAACATTTTAAACTACATAAAAGTATCATGAAAACTAATTTGAGTTATAAAGCTGAAAATAATTTGTGAGGAAGAAATGTAGTCTATTTAAGCTAAAAAAGAAAAGAATGTGTAGAATAGGATTGAAAAGTGATAAAGCTGGAAAGAATGTGTAGCAAGGGATTAAAAAGTGATAAAGCAGAGAACAATTTGTAACTAGGACGAACTCAAGAGTGACAGTTAAAAAAATGCGTAGGTTGACTTGCAAAGAAAAAAGGCATGAGTCATTTGAAAATACAGTGCAAAAGCGTGAAAGTGAAAAGCCTAGAGGTAAGCTGTAACTTCTACAATAATTTGCAATAAGATTACGAACAGAAGCATGCTCGCATGCGCAAACGACACGGCATTCCACCGCAAAACGCACAGCGCACGTGATAGAAAAGTGAAAGAGTGAGAGCGTCCCCTCCCTCCACTTCCATAACGCCTTTAGCTCTGAGCCTAAACGGTGCATGGTGGGGAGGCGTGGGTGTGCTTGGCCGCTGCCTGCGCGCGCCATCTACCGCCTGACTACTCTACCGCGGGCGCGCTTCGCGGGGGTTAAGTCTTTGGTTCGAGAGCAGGGTGGGGGCGTGACGACTTAGAAGCGGCCGCCGCCGTGGCCACCGCCGCCGCCTCCTCGGCCGCCGTGGCCGTGGCCGTGTCCATGGCCGCCGCCCTCGTGGTGGTCGTGGTGGTGGATGATCTTGTAGACGGTGTGCGTGTGTTTGTGTTTCTTCACGTGCACAGGCACGTGGATGACCACCTTCTTTTTCCTGTGGGAAGAGTTATTGAGGGGTTAGAACAGTAGATCAAAGCCATTTTTCGTGGGGGAAGAGTTAGTATGTTGTTAGAACAGTGAGTAACCCCCTTCTTTTCCCTGCAGGATAGGGGCGTTGGATTAGAAGATTCCTTTTCTTGGGGTAGAATTAATGAGGACTTAAGAGATTGGGTCAGCTCCTTCAGTACTCTTCGGGAAGAACTATTTAAGCATTAGAGTAGTGGATCACCACACCTTCCTAGCAAAAGAACAGTGGGCCGAAATAAAGCTTTAGAACAGTGGACTCACCACCATTTTCTTGCATGGAGGATTAATAGTGTTAGCGTAGGAGATCATATCCTTTTCGTGGAAAAGAGATAATAGGACGTTACACAGTTCACTGTTTTTTTCTTGTAGAAATTATTTTAGAATTTATTTCTTGTAGAATTTATTACTTAGAAATTATTTACATTACTAGGCTTGTATAAAATATTAAAATGTAAAAATATTGGATCATCGTTCAGCTGGGGAAAGAGTTGATAAGGCGTTAATGTAGTATACCCCCAACTTTTTCCATTAATAATATTTATTACGACGGGGAATAATTATTACGATGATAATACACCAATGTATTAACTTCATATAAGGCGTCAGATGTTGAGTAAACGCTTCAGAAAAAATGTTCAAGTTCCACAGATTATCTCCACAACCAAATTCAACATTCAACATCATTTAAATGAACACAAAATGATCACCTGACTCAATATTTTCTCACTCCTCCCCAATCTTCTGGTACAACAATATTAGAGCTTGATAAAACACAAACTATTCTGTAGAGAATAAATCACCATTATCTTTAACTAAATCAGTTATCAATACATTATGAAGCACACTCTTTCAAATCCTCTCGGCCCATATTCACTTCCTTCCAAACAAATCACAGCCAAAAACCCCATTTAACTAATGTTTGCTTGACAAGATGTTTCTGGTTAATATATCAATTAACTTTTCCGTGAGAAAGCAGGCTCATCTGTGCCGATCCTTAAAAGTTAAAGACAAATATGTAAATTCGCTATTCCCTTTAAATGTAAAAATACCGAAAGGCCAGAAATTAAGATTAAAGATCTGGTTGATTGATGAGTGCTGCACTTGTTTCTCAATGTTGTGGAGGAAGAAAATGGAAAGTAGGCACCCGTCCCATGTGTAACTATAACTTGATGAACCTGACTAGTGCACCTATTCTATTGCACTCCTTCCTCTACTACTTCTTATTTTCGGATAATTCAATGGTTTAGATTTACAACCGACAAAAGCCAGACCCACGGCTTGTTCGTGCATGGGAGTCTTTACACTAGCCAAACTCGCTCAAAATAAGTGACAGATTTACCCATCAGGTTTTTCACTCCACGTATTCAACCGTATCCCAAAAGCGTCCAAATATTTCCTCATCTGACCGGCCGGGCATTTACCATCTGATTTTTGACTCCCTCACCACCCGGCCCACCTGTTCCTCGAGATCGTCTCAGTGGCGAGAAAAGTTTTGGCAAACGGCTAAAGCATGTGGATAAATGGAACACACGATGAATTCCCTGTATTCAATTAGGTAGAAATACTTAAATGATCATTAAAAACGCTAAATAAGTCAAAGTAAGAGGTATCTTTAATTTTATGTAAAATGAGATCAACATTTTGCGTTGACTGGAATCATGTATTTTTTAGGTTAATCAGAGAGCATTAGTTCATGAGTCACGTCGTCGACTTGGAAATGTAAGAGCGAAGCGTGTCCACTTGGTCCGTATTAAGTTAAAAAATGTTTTCCTAAACAAACAACCCAAATACTGTATCAGATACAACGTTTTTAATCACCTCATATAATATGGACATGTTATATTCATTTATACATGTTACATTTATCCATTAGTTTTAGCTGATTGACAAAAAATCATCACGTTCCGATGGAGATGCAAGTGCTTTTGGTCAACGGCACATCAGCGTTTCCTCTCTTATCTAATATACTGTATCCGAAAGAAGGTTGGACCTAATTTGTACGCTTAGTTTTGACTAACGATTTATGGGTTTTACCAAGAACGCGCAGAACGATCTCGAGGAGCCCAGAAATGACTGTGCGTGAGTGCGTTCGCGTGCTCCAGATTCGTTCGTCGAAAGGAAACATTTGAGTGCATACCTTCATACACGACCGCTACAAACTCATATTCTAAAATGGTGAATGGTAATCCTAGTTGAAAATGCAAGACTCACGCACGTTTGTGATAGTTTTGCCCTTTCTTTTTAACTGTCACGAGAACATGACGTGTGCCGGTGAGTAACGAGGTGGTTAAAACTCACAAAAAGAAGGGGTGGTCATTGTTGTCCCAATAGTGAAGGCTTAAGCGTGTAACTCTGTGAAATGTGTAGTCCGCTAGCGGTCAGGTACAGCACGCGTCGCCCACACGAAACTGCGCCTTACCTGAACTAAGGCGAGAACTGATGAGGCCAAAAGACTATTCCGCTAATGCCGTCGTATATCATAATAAAGGTCTTAAGATAGGGTAAATCGTGCAACAAAATTAGTTGCTGACAATCACAGAATAAAGAGATATATTTCACCCTAACTTCTATTGTTGTATACAGACAACCATAATTAGTTCATTTATTAATATTATATTTCAACCAAAATAAAGGTAAAGTAATTCGAGGAGAGATAATTATGTTCAATACTAATATAATAATTAGGTATAATTATGTTTGGAAACCCTAAATGGATCAGCTGAAAACTCGGGAACGAGTACACTCAATATTTCGTCTTCGATGCTGGACAATCTCCTATGTAACGAACTTAGCAATTTTTACATCTTGGTATCAATGATTCTGAATTTGCTTGTTATTAGTTTGTTAGAAAATGTCAAAAGAAATCTAGTAAATAGTGGTCTTAGAATAGAAAATAAGAAAACTCCTATGTAATCTTTACCATTTATTAATGATAGAATAACTTTTATGTGGCAACAACCACATGGGACGTTTTCGTTAGGTGCTTTCAGAAAAATATTACAATAAATAAATATTAAATACTTTTATACAGCAAATTTAGGATGCCTAAACGTATCCAACTGTAAATTATTAATATCAAAAAGTGTTTTCCTTCCTTCTGTAAAATTTTATATTTCCCACTTTCTAGCCTGTCTATCATCAACAATGATATTTTTCTTGAACTGAATCACATTGTCATTGAGTATTACACACAGTTCTTGTAAAGAAGCACATTTTCTATTCTCAATTTAATATAATAATATTATTATTGAAAGTTATACTTTCGGACAGAATTTCAGAAATTATGTATATGTCAATATTTAATTCATCTCTATGGCATCTCTATTGCATGCCAAAAGCCCGTTTGTAATGATTCTTATTCACACTTATTCACGGAATGAATGAATAAATAATAACTTGCCAAATGCTTATTTATTTTCCTTCTGACCAACTTGCATTAAAATTAGATCTTTTGTTATATTTCATAGAGTTTTCTATTTATGTGAGCAATGAGATTACATTCTAATTATGGAAAATATTCCTTCAATTCTTAACTGCGACTGCATATAATACATATTTTTTATGTTTTTGTAATTCTTGTTTTTTTGTTATTCTTTATAAATACTAAATGTGAAAATGCAATAGTGGTGCAAAGATTTTT